CCCCAAAACCCCAAAACCCCAAAACCCCAAGAAGAATTATAAGAGGATGTAATAGGAATTAAATTAAAATATTGAAATTCTAAATGGAAGATATAAAGAGGAGGTTCAAAGAATTCAAAAATAATGTTCTGAATTATTCAGAGTTTTACGCTACAATCCTTGGATTTTTCGTTCTTCAGATAGTCACCTATTACGTAGCTTATTTTGCAGCTAAACAGAGTAATTATTCCAAATTTGATTCGATTTTGACATTTATTATCTAGATTTGATCATCGAAGTGACTGTGAGAATATTCTTTTCAGTCATATTCTTCATAATCTTGGCTCTTATAGAACAAAACTTGGATTATTATCAGTTCAGATGGCTCACTGTTTTATCTATAAATCAGATTCTAATCCTTTGGTCTGTGGTAGCCAACCCTTTCCACAGTCTAATAATTCTGGCTATAGTTACCCATCCTTTACTAAACTATCTGAAAGCTCTTGATCTATAGCGTATTGACCCAATGGCGATACTAGCATAAAGTTAGAAAGATTAAGATGATATTCTGCCATCAGCTGGTTTAGTCCAAAAAAGTACAAGAAAAGATAGAGCAATTATTAAAACCATATTTGATGTGATTATTTCTGTGGGACTATTGGTTCATTTGATGTTGTATAAGGAGGAATTCACTCCTGATTTCTTTCATTTTATGGTCAACTTAAATGAGGATTACTGCCATTATATATGGATTCTTACTATGTGGTTAGCATTCAAGAGCTTTCTGGTTTAAGACAAATAAAATTTAACTATTCAAGGAAGAGCAATTTCAGTCCTAATTTAAGGTGTTTTCGGATTAACTATATCTTCTGAACTCAATTTACTCTCACTTTCTATACTTACTGTTTTGATGGGAGTTGCTTATGTTAGAGTAGTCTACTAAAATCATATGAACTTGATGATTGCTTTCTTTATATTCCTCTATCTAACCTAAAACTTTGTAGTAAATTTAATAGATTTGCTAGTATTCAAAGCCTACTTAAACAGCGGTTATTATCATGATGATGATTTTTTGAAATCTTTTAGTTATAAAGTATTCCAGGCATTTATCAGTTTACTATTTTCTGCACTTTACAGTCAGTCTATTTACCCCACACATCAAAAAATACTGCTGGCCCCTTAGATACTTGAAGACTTGTAAGTGCTATAAATGAATGAATAATATTAATAGATTTTTAATGACTATTCCATCATGCTTTATGATGCTTTTCTGCTTCTTATATGAATTGACCTATGAGCCAGCTGGTAAAAGAACACGTATCTACAAAACAGAACTCACCAAGGTCTTTTTCACTATCCTCTACTTTTTCCTAATAGCTATGATCTTTGCTAATTGGCTCTAATCTCTAAGAAAATTCATCAAGTTAACTCAAAGAAAGCTTCTACTTTAAGACTAACAAGCAAGATTTCGACATGAAGAGCTAAACAGAAGAATTAATCATGAAAGAGAGGAATAAGTACTAGCAGCTGGAAAATAAAAGAAGAGAATCTTAAGAAAGTTTACATTAACTGACTTCTCATTGAATGAAATCATTGATCTATTTCTAAACTAATTTGACTAATTCGTGGTCGAGTAGTGTCAGCATTTCTTAGACTCTGAATTTATGAATGTAATGAGGAATATCTAGAATACTTCAGCTATCCTATTTTTCATTTTGGTCCATATTCCCTTGTCAAGAGTCTCTTAATTTTTCGCACTAGTGACAACTATGATACCACTAATTTTAGATAAGAAAAATAAAGAGAGAATATACATCTGGGCTTATAAAGCTGTTGCATTTATTACGAGAAATATTGACTAAGAACCACCTAAGATCCTAAGAAAGAGAGGTGTTGACTCCACAAATTTGAAGGCAAAGAAGTACTTAGAGATACTGGAAAACTAGAAGATCTCTATAGATATGACTGTATTCTTTCTCGGACTGACTCTAGCTGTCTTATTCAACTACGTCTATGTGTGCTATCTCGGTGGTCTAGTTGTAAGTGCTTCCTTTTAAGTTAACTTACCTTTAGAACTCAATTTGTGAAATAATGATAAAGCTATTTGATAAACTTGGCTTTGAAGTTCACTTTGTCAGATTAATTTACTTCACCATTTTCGATCAGAGTTCCACAGATCTCTCTGACACTCAAAAACAACAATTTTATCAGTCTCTAATGATTGATCACTTCCATTTATTGTTTATCATTATACCTATGTATGTGATATCACTGCAATACTTAACTGCTAGTGCACTTGAGCACTACAACAAAAAAGCAAATGCTTTTATTGCTCCATTTGCTGCAATTCCTATTTTCTTTTTCTAGAACTATGATATTCTCATAATTGCTATTTTAGTATTGTGCTGCAACCTATGGGTAGCTTGGAAATAATTAGATACTGACGAGTATACCTGGGCAACCTACTATAGAGACCAGATTGAGAGATAAATAAAAGCTACTCAAAGTAGATCTAGCTACATGACATAAATAAATGATATAAACCCATTTACAGAAATACCCATGATAGATCCACTTTCGTATGGATATGGTACAGGATTAATGAGATGATTGTCAATGTTTAATCTTCTGCTTTTGCTGATTTACTGATTTAATTCAACTTAAATTCAAATTTAAACTTAATTTAATAAATTACAAAGATAATGGAAAAATAAACTAGACTCCAAGGCTAAAATTCTTAAACAAGCCTTCTTGGAGCAAGCTAAGACTAGCAAGAAGATATAGAAGCTTAGAATATTAATCCTGGTTTGCATATGTCTTACTAAGTTCAGGATTAACCAAAGAAGTCAGCATAAGATAAAATGATAGGGGCATTTGGAAAGAAAATGAAGTAAGTTCTAAAAATCTTAAAATAGAAATTATCTCTTCTTAATTTGATTCTAAAAGTTAGAAGGAAATAAATACCTATTTATATTATGGTATTTTTGAAATTAAAGTTTATTCATTTAGTGTTAATCAAGGAAATAAGGATGTAGCTGGGAACAGGATCAACGATTTGTTCTCACAGGAGCAAGCGCCTTCAATATTAGAGCTGCAAAACTTATCGAATAATATAATTTAATCATTCAAGGGGGATAACACTGAAATAGATGTCAAAAAGATTAAAGACTACGAAAAAATAGTGAATGAACTGCTCAGGTAAAAAATTTTCGACAAAGCAGAGGCTATTCTTAATATAATGGTAAAGAATGATTCACAAGCTGTGTACTATGTTAAGAGAGCGAGGTGCTACAAAAATATGAAGAGATTTATTGAGGCTACTGAGGATCTTTAGATGGCTATTAGCATGGCTCCAAATCTGAATGCTACTATTAGTAGTGAAGCATTTTATAATTAGATGGAGCATTACTACAGAGACTACGATATAAAGTATTGGTGAGATCTCACAAGTGGGTATACAACTAATTTTAATTTTAAAATAGATATATTGAATTGATTGATTGTTCTTTACAAAAATCATTAATCTTAATTTTATGACTTGATTGATTTTCATAAGTATAGACAATAAATTCTCAAAAGGTTAACTTAAAAGTGTTAAGAATTAATCTTTTGATATAAAACTCTCATAGATCATCATTTTTCTTGGCTCCAAGGTCTACTTTGCCATCCTAGCCAACAGGAACAGGCTGCCCATCTACAAAGATCTCATTGTCAAAGCGAGGTGCATTCTTGACATCAACATTTTTGCAGGCTTTACTTAAGACATTACACACGTAGTCCTCTACATCTGCATTACCTTATCTGGCAATCAATGCCTTTTCAATTTATTCTTCCCAGTCCATAATGAAAGCTTCACATCCCTCTCTCATCTCAGGAGGTGGGAACTCATAGATCATATATTTCTCTGGATTGCACACATCACTCAGGTACTCCATCACCTATAGAAACACGTATAAGCTTTCATAGTCTTAATTATATTCATATTTTGCATTAGATGCTTTAAACTATGATTGAACACTTACATCAGATTCAGCAGTCCTGTGCTTTAATGATTTGAGTGCTTCCCTTATTATAGCTTAGCAGACATTGCAATAAAGTTCCTATATTCACATTATCTTCACTTTTGTTTAATCTTACTGGAGATGTGCTTGTTGGTCTCTTACCTGAGCTCGTGTCTGGATCTTAGCCTTTCTTTACCTTCTTCTTTTTCTCTATAAAAAATTTATTAAAAAATTGCTGTACTTGACTTGGTGGCTGCATCCACAAATAAACTGTGAATGAGTAGAGATACAATCAACGATAAAAGCAATAGCTTCAGAAAATTCTTTCCCATTATAAAATTAATACTAATATTTAATTTTGAATATTAAAATTTATAATCACAAGTAATGTTTAACTAATTACGAAGGTAGAGTTATGTATTGAATTCATTGAGATCTAATCTCAGTGTATTAAGCACTTATTAATCCAATAAGAGCATACCTACTTTACAACAGCAATTATCCTCTTTAATGAACTTTTAAGCAGCCAGATTTTCAACATCTTACATTCCTAAAATAAAAATAAACTTCATCAAGAGAGACAGTTTTCATCTTTATCATAATGAAACAGGAGAAAGACTCATCACAAACTTAACACGCCTTAATATGATCTTTATTGCTGGAAATTCCCTACTCCTTTTACTTGAAGTCCTAAGCCCATGTAAGCTGACTCTATAAATTTCTAATAAAGTTTATTATAGTCTTTGGATATTGGCATGGAGTTTCTCTGTCAATGACTTTATTGTTCTCATTTATTGGAACATATATGATTCAATATTACTCTACAAGACTAATTCATGACATTTATATCATTAAGGATGGAAAGTTTTGTGAGGTCACCTACTATAATGCACTTTGGGTAACAAATACCTCCATATCTAATCATTTATTTCCATAGATTCCAAAAACGGAGAAACTAAGGATTGTAAACTTCGGGTATTTCAATCCTAGTAGACTTTACAATGTGGACATGGCAACATATCAGCAAAAACAAAAGATTTATATAAATTTGGGAAAGAATATATACAAAGATCCAGAGCATAATGAAATGGTTAAGATGATGCTATCAGGAAAGGAATTCGATTTCAATTCATTCAGTGTGCAATAGGTCACAAGCAAGGAGGAAGTCATCAACAAAATATAGAAGATAAAAAAGAAGAAGCAGTTTAATTGAATATAAATATTGAATACTTTGATTCATGTTAATCATGTCGCAAGGGGTTTTGGGGTTTTGGGGTTTTGGGG